TCGAAAAAATTCAATCAACTTCAAGATTTAAAAATTCAAATGCCATAGAGATCATGGTTAAGAAATTACTTAAGCCTCGATTCGATAACTATGTTTTCAGTCAACCTTGTAAATTAAAAAATTAAAATTTGATTATGGGTGAGAAAGACGAGTTGAATGGTTTTTTGTAATTTAAATTAGTACAATTTGAATAAAGCTCAACTTTCATGACTGAACCGCGAAAGATCTTAAACATTTGGAAAGGATCCTGTTTTTTGTTTTCGCAGGAAAATTTATTGAAATGCACGTTCAACAGAAGTAATGAAATCACGGGAATTGCAAAAAACCGAATGCGGGTAATTGGAAAGTGGCTCTAAATATTTCATATCACAATGGAACGAACGGAAAATGCAAACAAGAAGTTCGATTTATTCCCCGACACGAACCGTAACTTTGTCAACAACTCAAGCACGCTATTTGGGTTCGGGTGGTACTGAATATGAAGCGGAACCCCGAATACAGTACAGTAGAACCCCCTTTCCTCTTTTTATCTATGGGCTCTCCAGCAGCAGCGACAAGGACGCTCATCACTGTTGCACATATACGAACCCGAACCCACATCAAGAATACCCTCATCATCAGAAGCACGGGTTCCGGCAAATTTCCGCCGGAAATATTTCCTGATCAGTCACGTATCCCAGAAAAATCTCGCTCTGGAAATTCTTCACAATGAGCGATATAAGCAGGAAAAAAAAGGGACAGGAGACCTGACGAATGCTCGGAATATGTCGGAATATCACTTGGAACCCCCCGGAAGGTCGTTTCATTCACACTTTTCTGGGCGACAGCAGCAGCCTTTCCTTCTTTATGTGCTGCACAATACGTACACAAGCGAGCATATCGTCCGAGGAACACCCGCTCTGAAGGGTAAAAAGAGGAAGCGAGTCGGAAATACGCACAAAGAAAAACCCTTTGCCCTACTTCGGCTCCTCAAAGCAGAACAATTACAATCACTTGTTCCCAAGGATGTAATTTCCCTTTTATTCTCTCTGCCAATCCGTGTTCTGCACGCCTCCTGTCGTCATCGTGTGAAAATTCATCGCGTTTTCACGTTGGTCTTATTAACTGTTCGCTGTCTCTATCTGGAAAGCTTTTGCTAAAAAAATTCAAATTTGCAAGAAATTTATTTTGAAAAATTTTCAAATAATGTTTTCCCTGCCGAACTGCTTTGCGCGACTTCTGGAAAATTGAAAAATTACATCCTGTTTTCAGTCGGATCTTAATTTTGGTTCACTGTGCTTATCCAGAAAGATTTCGCTCGAAAATATTTAAAATTATACAAAAAAAAATCTAAAAACGTTTTTGCATAATTTTTTCAACTGCCAAACTTCTTCGCGCGAATCCTGCCAAAATTAGAAAATTCATCACGTTTTCACGCGGGTATTAATAAAGGTTTAGTGCAATTTTACTGCCTCTTAAACCTTTCGCAAGTGTGTTTTAATAAACTTTTAAAGATTTTTAACTAGAACTATACAAAAAGGGAGAAAAAAAGACGGTCTGACGAAACGTGTGGATAACAACCTCTGGGAATCTAGAGTCTGTTAGAAATTTGCAGAAATAAAAAGAAATGCACACTAGACCATTTGTGGCCAAGACCAAGTCTCCAGGAACTGTTATAATTTTGCACAAGTTGTAATTTGATGTTTTCACTTTCAGAGTTTGGAAATTCACACACTCAAGTAGTATTCACCGCGAGAGTCTTGAACAAAGTGAATTCTTCAGTGCTTCATGGTTGTAGGAGTTGGGGAAGGAACTGGTTTCTTGTATCAAGTTTTCAGGGTTAGTAGGTTTGTTGTAAGCGTGAATTGTTCGATTTTTGTGTTCGTGGCGCGTTGTATGTTTTGTGAATTCGGGCGACCTCTAGGGGTCCCTGATACCTCTTACCAAAATGGTAAAATGCATCACGTTTTAACGTGGATCTTAACAACGATTCGCTGTCCTTATCCCGACAACAATCACTCGAAAATGTTTCAAATTTGCAAAAAATTGGTCGTAAAATGTTTTTGCATATTTTGATTTTACTGCGGAACTACTTCGCGCGACTCCTGTCAAAATAAAGAAGTCCATAACGTTTTCTCACAGGTCTTAATACCTGTTTACTGTTGTTGTCTCACAATTTCTGCATGAAGAATATAGTTGAAGACAGCTATCCTTCTCTGGAATTTCTGAAATTTAAGTGACGAAACTCAAAAGCCTTGACCACATGTAGAACATTCACAAAACGTTTTCCTGAAAATGTGTTTTCCCTTCTTATCTCTGCTGGTGAACGGCTTGCCTAGCTTTCTATAAAAATGTGCAAATTCGTCCGATTTTCACATGATGGACTTCAATGCCAATTGAATGTCCTGGCTACTACCAAATATATTTTATAAAATTCAGATAAAGAATATCTTAGATGGAAAATCCAAGAGACAACTTTCAAAGGCTGAACCTTGTTGTGTACCAAAGCAACGCAGCTCCAGCATCCGGCCAAAACCGGGCGAGAAAACTTGCTGCATTTTTGAGGCCAGTGAGTCTTGCAAAAATCCTGTTTTTGTGAGCCTCACTGAGCCTCACTCAAGGACAAGAAGTGACCATCACTTCCTTGATTTTTCCTGAATTGACTGAGCCATGAAGAAATCACCTGATTTCTAGCACCTGCTAGTCCAAGCACCTGGGTACAAAAACCTTCATTCCTCTTTGAGAGGAGAAGTCAGAACCTAGTGTAGAAGGGCCTTTCAACTGTAATTACCTCATTCAATATTCTGAGCTAACCAAACAAGCTTACAATTGACTCTGCCATTACAACCATTCAATTAACAGCCAATTGATAAAGTGGGCAATGAGAATTAACTCCTCTGAAAATAGTTTGAGTTCTTATTCAAAACTTGCATTCTGATGGCTGAACAATTCAATTCCTTTGTCTGGGATCCAATGGAACCATGACAAACCTCACAGAAATACAGAAAGTGTAAAACAAAATTTGCTCTGAAAATGCAATTTCCTGTGCAATCTTTGTCGATCTACTCTTCATAAGGCCACAGGTGCAAATCCATCCTCTTTTCCCGCGGGTCTTAATGAAGATTTTGTATCCTTGTCAGCTCAGCGGTCCGAAAGATTTCAACAAATTTTGAGCGCAAAATATTTCCTGTCACCGATGAAAATTACCATCAAGATCCTCTTGGGAATATGACGACTTTGAATCGATACGTGCCAAAATTGAAATCGATTTTTCAAACGCGCAGGTCCGACCGTCGTGAGTAATTTTTCTTTGAATCATTCCGCTTTTTTCATCAATGATTTTTCGCCATGATTATTTTACGAAAAGCGTTTGTTTGCTCTTTTAAATTATTATCTGAGTGAAATTTGCCGATGCGAAAAATCTATTCCTCATTCCAAAGCGATATTTCATGAGCTGTCAATTCAGTGCGACGGGGTTTTAAATAGTTTGAGTTCTTATTCAAAACTTGCATTCTGATGGCTGAACAATTCAATTCCTTTGTCTGGGATCCAATGGAACCATGACAAACCTCACAGAAATACAGAAAGTGTAAAACAAAATTTGCTCTGACAATGCAATTTCCTGTGCAATCTTTGTCGATCCACTCTTCATAAGGCCACAGGTGCAAATCCATTTTCTTTTCCCGCGGGTCTTAATGAAGATTTTGTATCCTTGTCAGCTCAGCGGTCCGAAAGATTTCAACAAATTTTGAACGCAAAATATTTCCTGTCACCGATGAAAATTACCATCAAGATCCTCTTGGGAAAATGACGACTTTGAATCGATACGTGCCAAAATTGAAATCGATTTTTCAAACGCGCAGGTCCGACATTCGTGAGTAATTTTTCTTTGAATCATTCCGCTTTTTTCATCAATGATTTTTCGCCATCACTTAAAATGCTTTTCGCAAACAAACGAGAAAATTTAATAATAGACTCACTTTAAACGGCTACGCTTTTTAGATAAGGAGTAAGGTTTCGCTATAAAGTACTCGACAGTTAAGTCACGCTGCCCCAAAATTTCAATTTGCCTCGGAAGAAGCTGTCTTCTCAAAACTCTGCGCGATAAATCATACTCTCATTGTTAATCGAGTGATTCTTATTATTTACAATGCGAGTGAATGCCACGCGGGCAAAAACCCGGGAGCCAGTGGGTCATCGATCAAAACACAAGCTTGATCCTTTCGAGATCCCTGCCGAAACCCTGTAAGCCAGATGTGGTTCAGAGCCGAAAAGTATGTAGCCGCACTCTGTATATAGCTAAGCTCTGGACAGTGACGGTTTTTTATACGTCCTTTCGTTGTTATTCCATCCCTTAAAGTAAAAGTTTTCATGGTTCTTTTGTAAGATCCTGCCAGTGTGTGTGCGTGTGTGAACAAAAACCGAACAGTTTATCATCGCCAGTGTCTGGCGACAGGTTTCCGATAACCTTGCCACCGTTTCCGTCGGAAAAGTGCATTATTATCGCCTCCAGAAATAGCACGAAGGAAGAAATGGAGCACAAATGCCTATAATGATAATTGCAATGGGTTCATCTGGGTCTAGACAAACAAGAACTTCACGTGAAATATTTTCAAAAGTCATCATTTGTCACCTTATACACCTCCACAGGGTCATACTTTTCATAAACGGCAGCAGTGAAGTCATGCAAAAAAAATAGAGCATGGACGAGGAATAACACGTAAAAATATGGTGTATAGGCATAAAAAATGTAGCACAATTTAACCAAATTAGCTAATCTACTCTTGAATAACCAGAAAATAGCCGAATCTAAATCACACTGAACTATCATAATCGAACAGAGGTCAGCCCAACTTCATTCGACTTAATCTAACACCGCCGACTAATCTTCTTGAAAGTAACTTCAAATTTAGCGTGATGAGACTGAATGACCCTTCAAACTTCCTGCATTCCATGTTTTTTACACATATTTTATTTTCTGAACTATTTTTAGCACACGTCCCGTTTGGATAATTTCCCTCTCAAGTTTTGACGAGCACCCTTTATTTAAGAAAAAATGTAAGAATCTATTTTGGGCTTATTGTGGTTTTTTTACCTCTTGTATCTGAGTTTAGTGCCATGTCATAATAATACATACTTTCCTGCTTTGAGCATTTTATACGCATTTTATAATCGGAAATAATATACTGTAATAAAATATACAGTACCTGCATTGCATTTTTAAAAATATTATCTTTTCCGAACTATTTTCAATAAACTTTCCGTTTTGGTAATTTCCCACCCCATTCTGACAATTACCCGCGCGGAAACCTTAATTTTATATGCAACCCGAATAATGCAAAAAAAAAGGAGAACATAGCTGACTTTCCTTAGAATAAATGACGGTATTATGTATATGAAAGAATGATACAAGTACAATATATATGTGGGAATAAATGCATGGTCGAACGCATTTGGAAATTCCCCGGAATAATGAGAGTGATGGAAATGAAAGTCCGTCCTAAAAAACAACGTACGTGTACTGTATAATATGCGAGTGAGTTTCGGATGTTGGAATCTCATCTGCATATTGTCATTCCTTTCCTCAGCCCTGCGAGACATCTGCGAGCAGGTATTACGGGGAAAGTGAGGAATTTTCTTTTGGCACCTGTTTACTTTTTTTCCTTGTTGAGGTTTCCGCCTGTAACAAAGGATTTCTCATATCTCCTCGCGAGATTATATCTGGCTCAGGAATTTTCTGCAGTGAAGTACGTGATTATTTATAATCTTGAAAGGTTCTCGAGGATGTCAAATAAATGCTCTTGAGTGACACGGGATAAATGAGGGGATCCGCGACAGAAGTTTCATCTGCAGCACGAAAACGGGATCTGCTGCACGAAAGGATGTTACAGACAACGTAGAGCTGCCTAGAAAATAGTTGCAGAGAAAGAGAAAGGATGCTTCTTCTGGAAATGCTGTCTGAAACTTTGTACATCCAAGTCCATTCAAACAGAAAGAATTCTCCAACCAACCCAGCATTTTATGCAAAGAAAAACATGCGGATTGACCCAGAAATTGTGGATCGCGAAGAACAATTGACCATTTTATTATGTAACACATTTCAGAGGCCTAAATTTGCTAATTTCAGTTATTCTCGCCGAAACGGCGGACATTATTCACGTCGTCCAAATGCCTTCATGAAAGTCATTTCACTCAATTGAGAAGACGACGGGCAAGGCTTGGTAACTGCCCTTTATAGTCTACCATGGACTCGTGTGCCCCAGTTTTCAGTGCGAAAATTTGTGGGAAATGTCCCGCTATTATCATAGCAAGACGCACAACGCGTTATTTGAAAGTCCTCTTGAATGTGCGACTTGAATTACTATCAATTTTAGATGTTATGATATTATTTTTTAAATTTTAGAGAGAAAACGTACAGAAAAATATGCGTGGAGAACAGCTGAATGGAGAGAGGACTTGAGAGGGCAAACATTTGATTCTAAATAACTCAATAAATTTCAGAGATAACTGAAATCAACTTTAAAATATGTAAGGAAAGAACATGGCGTTATTGCTTTAATTTAATTTGACCAAAAAATATTAGATAAAAATCGCCCATCATGCATGTAGATGATCGAATGGCAATGCGGTAATTCAAGCTAAATCACAAAACAAAACACGGAAGATGGGGTGGTTTTAAATATGATTTCGTAGTGATGTCATATATTATAGAGTATTCAGATCGGTTTGACGCTTGAATATCTGAAAATTTCATAATTATTACTTCANCTAAATCACAAAACAAAACACGGAAGATGGGGTGGTTTTAAATATGATTTCGTAGTGATGTCATATATTATAGAGTATTCAGATCGGTTTGACGCTTGAATATCTGAAAATTTCATAATTATTACTTCATATAAAAGACCGAATGAGGTGAACGTGAAAATCTTTGAAAAATTTTAAATCATATCAAACGAAATTCAAGTTATTTCATTTAAATCCTTTCTGATGTTTTATGATCGTTGTTGCATTGCTCTCATCAATGACACGAAAATTTGAACGGAAAAAACCTTTGCGGGACAAATTAATTGCACATATTTTAACAGGGGGCTGAAATTCTTTTTTACCGCGATTTTCGTAGTTTATTTTGCTTTAGAATGAAATTAAAGCAGTCAGCCAAGGAACATTATTTCCATTGTTCCGAATTGAATTTAAAAGTTCAGTCAATTTTTTTTTTATGTTGAAACGTAATTCGCTGAGACAACCAGCAGAAAGATAGCAATGCCGGAAAATGAGGAACACAGATATTCTGTTCACATTCCTTGAAAGTGTAAAAATTTTTTGCAGTATAGATTTCTTTTGAGCAATGGATTTGCCTCAGCAAAACCCTTTTTTTATTATTAAAGGGTGACGAAATGAAATACAGTAGCTTCAAGAAATTTAGATATTACGCGTTTAAAAAAGAAAAAAAAAACGATTGAAGATTCGAGAAGGATACGGTAATTGATTCATCTCCGACACATGTACGTACTTGCACTTGTCTGATATCGTGAGAAAAGCACCGGATGACTAGTGTCATATATTTCCTCTCAAGTACTGTTTGCTTAGACACCAGAAGAATGAGAGACAAATACAGCCAGGCTTTGGACTGTGTCAACCCCATCGATACCCTCAGGCGCGAAAGCAAAAAGAAACAAAACTGGGTACATTCTTTTATTCACCTATATTCCCACCGGAAACGGGTCAAGGGTCCAATCGACACCGCATCGTTTTTTTTTATTTGGGTGCTAATTGGAGCAACAACAGCGTTGTCTACCAAATTAACTACGGATTTGACTATACCACTGTTGAGTTTATGACCTAAAAAAAGCACATGAAAAAGGGGGAAATCGACGGGGTCTGAAAAGGATGTCCTTCAATAACTATTTCCGGACATTTAATAGGAAGTTATAAAAAGCAGATAGGGATGAGTAAATCGAAAATTCTCGCAAGCTGTAATTTGAAGTGTGCCCTCATGCTCTTAAATTTAGTAACACGAGAGCTCCTCATTATTTTTCAATTACAAATCCTGTCACAAGATGAAACAAATGAGTCTTGTATCAGGTTCCAGTACCGACAGTATCTCAAGATTAAAACCATCCTCCGGGAATGTTTTCGTTCATCTCTGCAACTTTCTTGAGAGCCTTAATCAAACCCGATGTAATTTAAAATTCATTCGAGAGCTCCAGAAATATTCGTGTGATGTGTAGGTGACATTTTATCTTCGGACATGCGCCTGACATTTAGATGATATTCACGCTGTAAGCTAGCTATTGTGCTTGGTAAACATGTCATTAAAAGATATGAGTGACTGGATACCACGCGGGAAAGAAATCCTCAGAATTTGTATTATATTTTACAGTTTTCGTAGCAAGCCATCAATTTTCTGAGTATGCTTTTGAACGCATGAATTTGGCGCTCAAGTTACGCTGAAAAAAAATAAGATCCTACTGGGGGAAACGATTCATCATTCATGCACTGAAAGCGAGGGAAAGTTTTGCGGGCTTTTCTGCAAATCTTTTTTTGTCCATACTCCTGATGATACTGGGGAGATGGAAGTGAGATGTGATCGTTCAAAAGCTGCCGATGAATCCTACAGAATCCCTTCCACAGCAAACTTGGCTGCCGTGGATTCTTTATTATTTTAATTTTTGTGACTAAAGAAAATTGATAAAGTACAGTATTCTGAAAAAAAGCACGGAAACAATACATGTGTACAGGTTGAGCCATGCGATTGCTCAAGTTGAACACTATATAAGACTGACTTCGGGCAATAGAGAAGTTCTTGCGGCATTCAAACTTCTGATGGGATTTTTCTCGGCGACTTTTTCTCGTTTGGTAATTCCAACGTTGAAGAACATTCTAGTATGTGTAACTTTCATGTGTTCTTTGAAGAAAATTTCGTTCAGAGTGTCTTGCATTAAGCCCTGAAACTTCTGAATTGTGTCGCTGAAGATTCTAATGACTTCCTCTGTTCTCAGTCGGTTCAAGTCTAGTCTCACTAAAAGTTCGAATGGAGCAGTTTCTCGAAATCGGCGATATTTTGCTGATGTTCAAATCACGTTCATGTAGGAATTTTCATTTACAAGCCACACTTCAGAAAGTAAAATGATAATTTATTGCTAATATGATTATTTGAAACACCAGCAGGGATCCTCACTTTGAATTGAAAGAATTCAAAAAAATGGCTGACGATACGCGTAATATCTGTTTTTATTAATGCGGTCAGGTTCAATAAAAATTCCAATGTACGAGTATCACGTATTCAGAAATCGGAAAAACTAAATGATTAATTGACAGTTATGCAAAATTGTTAATCTGACTGAGTTCAGAAGCATTTCCGGTACGTTGTTGTTCATCGTAAGTTTTCGGGTTGAAATAATCCTAAAATCCAAAAAGCATTTTTCTTTCACTGAAAATACATTTCGAGTGTTTTTCGAAAAATCCTAGAAGACTTTCAATTGAACTGAAAACGGAAGGAAGCATAGATTAACTTTATTTTTTTTTAGTGACACAGAAGTCATTGTCTTGTAAAACGTAAAATATAATCGAAATTAGCCATTATTCGCAGTTATTCATTACAATTTATTCAGCTTCAGGATGCATTTTCATTTTCAATTAAGCAAATTCTTTGATCAATCAGTTTCAGTACAAATTCCTGCAGCCGAGATTGCACTTCTTGAAATATTGGAAAATCGCACTAAAATTTTTCGTGGCTAGAGTATGTGCTGGTGTGTTTGGAAAATTCTGAAAATTCATAATTCAAATATTAATATTTTGGATGCTCTGGAAGCATGATATTTTCCACGGTTATTTCCGGATAAGGACTAAATTGCCCCTCGATTTTAACTTTAATTTGAAATGAATGAAGTGAGAAATTAAAATGTTGTCATTTCTCGGTCGTCGCATCATTTGGTCCACCCTGTATGCAAAAAAAATTATTTCTCGGACATTTCAAACTATGTGCATTTCATGAGTTTTATATCCGGGAAAAAGGTGGGTTTGGGAATTCCGTTCAATAGTTTAAAAAACATATTTCTTGATCTTTTCGGCGACATGATTTCCATGCCGAGGGATTCCTTGGCCATGAATTGATCAACCCCAGAAAAAAATGTATTCTGATTCATTCTCCCCGATAGGAGAATGAATCAGTCGATCATACCAAGGCCACATGAATGAAATAAAAATGCCAAAAAAAAGGGTTTGTCATCGGCAATACAAACATTCAGAAAGGATCTCCGCCGCCGGCGAACACACCTACATATACTATATACATATACTGCTGTACAGTAAAGTCTCAACGATGCTTCAATATAATTCACTCTCACGTGCTCGTCTCTTGCAGTCTTGTACACATACACATACTCTGGCCAACTTATACAGCTAATGCGTAGTCATACATCATTCGCTCTTCACTCAAGGCTGTCGCTTCGTAAGACGCCGGAGACGAGTGATTTACGCCGCACGGAACACACTTATCCCGAATGCCTTTTGTTCCCGTGCAAGAGCCAATTTATCTGCTGGTACCTCGCCTATTTCGTCAATTGTCCGACTCGGGGCAGTTAATTCCTTTTCGGAAGCGACGTCTCCCAAAAAAGTCAGAATACTGAACGAGATTTTTTTTGGCGTTCGCAGAGTTCAATTATGATTTCGCGAGGCTCAGGCTGAATAGGTCAGACGAAAGTGGGATTCGGACATGATGAACGACGATGAGGAAGTTTCCCAGTAATACAGTACCAAGAAAATCCTTTAGGCTTTTCAGAATTTTTTTGACTGACCGCACTGTGTTATGCATACTTTAAATTCAAAATTTGAAAACCAGCACAGCAAGGGAGAAATTCGATTTAAAGGTTTTTATTGGAAATAATGATGTTCCCTTCCTTTTAGAAAATTTGAAGCAATCGTTAATTTTTTCCAGAGAAAAATAATGAGAGGCATCAGTCACCAGGTATAATTAATAATGGGCGGTGGGAAAACACACATTTTCATCTCCATCTTTGGATCAAGAGTGCATGCAAGATTAAATTGAAGATTTGGGCGAGGAGGACACTGAGGGTACCATTAAATTGATATTAGATGTATCTGGTGTGAATTCTGCACTGAACACGAAAAGGAGAGAAGAACATGTTTGGGAGGGCCAGATGACCTGCTTATGAAATTTAAATCATTTGAATTTAAGGCAGTTTTAAATGAGTAAACAATTTTGAAATCCTCTACTGAAATACATTTTTGTTTTAAGTTTTAAGGGATAAAAAAATGAACCATTCACTCCGCGTCGATGCAAATAAAAACGATAAACTGTCACATTATTCTCTCCTCTGTTCATCTCTCACATTTTGACCGATTTTTTCCCTGAAGCAATTTTCTCCGATTTCCTATTGGATGACGACAGTTGAGTGTCAGCTCGAGTGAAGCGAAAATGTATTTTTTTAGTTCGCAAGTTTTATCACTACAGAATTTCCGCTTTTTTCAAATGTAACGCTTTGAAATATCTCACCTGTTTTTTCCGTCGGCTGCAAATATTGGAGAATGTCTCAAAGGAAAATGCGAGTAAATAAATTCACTGGTATGTGAACCACTTCCAAAGAACACTTTATTGAAAGCTAGGCTCGTTTTTCACCGTCAGAGAGTCTATATAGTTGGAAGAAACGCGACGGAGAGAATACAATATTATGAGAAATAAATCACAGTTTTTCTTCCGGGTCCGAAGGAAAAAAAAAACGCGAAACAGCGATTTGAAAATTCGTCCCTATACTTCTCAGGCTTTCACGAGAAATGAGCTAATGATTTTTTTTTCGAACCACTCCAATATCTGGTAATAAAACGGAAAAATTCGGGTCGGAAAATATTCAAATTTTGGGCGACAATTCGAGTCCCATTCAAGAGTTTTTTGACGTGCATTAGAATTCCCCTTCATAGCTTATTGTGTCGGGGAAAAGAAAAGTGGAGGGTTGTGTGGGTTGCACCTTGGAGGGGTTTCGGTGGGATCCGCAGAACCGGGAACACTGCCTGCCTCAGAGGGTTTCCAGGCCTCCTTTATACCCCTGTTCCGGGGGCGTCGTTGACGATGGACGCACTCGTCGTCAGCGTCGAAGCACTGCATGCAATAAACTTGCTCTTACTCTTGCACTTCAACCCCCAACTGTTGTTTTCATCTTCCTCCCGGATCTCTTCAGATGTACTTGCTTCTAATGAACGGATTCCGACGAGATTCAAGCAGGCATCCATGTGATTGTCCCGCAAAATAATAAAACAAAAACACTGATATCTTGGTGACGAAATTCAGCACATTTCCCTCGAGTTGCAGTTTTTGTTTTACGACACCTGCAAGAAAATTCTCTCAGATGTGATCTACCTGGAGTTTTATTCTTTAAAAAATACAATCAATATATCTTTAGCCAGGGACTGAAGTTTTTGAAGGATATGAGTTAAATATTCCAAAATTCTCCTTGTTTCTTCGTTAGTTTTATTCAAATATCGCATCTTGCCTTTTCCGTATTGAATGTACAATATATATGCATATAATTATGTCTTATATGCAAATGTTCATTTTTACTGATTACTTTTTTTTTATCCCTGATGACTTCGGTATTTCTTTTACAAAACTATATCAACAGTTCGCATATATCAGCGTAAATACTTCATTCAGAACTGATAGATCACACATTTCGAAGATCAGAATCTTTCGGTTAATTAAAAAAAGTTTTCTGCTTCAAATTATTCAAAAAAAAATTGGCACCACTTTACAGATTGCCAATGAAATCGTGAAATATGAAAGAATGTCGGGTAAGTCAACAGTTTTCTTGAAATGATGGCGTACAAATGTCAAATCTTTTTTCGCTCTATTTGATTTTGGTTGCAAAAAATTGCAAAAATTGGTCTTTAAAAGAAAAAAAATAGAACGTGATTATGCGGGCATTTCCACTAAATGAACAAGTCGCGAAGTCATCGCTCAAAAAATGCATGAAAACAAGCATCGTTATGGACATTTGTTAACCTCTATTAGCTTTGATTCCCACTGCCGGAAAGGCTTTATTTTAGCATGCAATCATGTCGTTGTTTCCATACATAGTTAATATTGATCCAATGGTGAACAACGTCCTTTGAGACCGTTTATGTCATTTTATGATTCATGCAAACAATAATGCCCCGACTCTTCCGGGAACAGATTTACAAGCATGCTTTGGATACTATAGGCATGCATAAATCGTCCGAATCCGCGAATAATTTCCATCCGTATTATATTTTAGCGATAAATGACGGAATAATCGCTTCCACTTTTTTCTGGAATAGTTCTGCACTCGTTAAAATATTTTGGAAAATTCCAGTCAAATTATAAAAATAGGATGTGCGTTTTGAGGCGTCGTTGAAATGAACTTAATTTAAGAAAATAGCTGTTATTACTGGTAACGTGCATTTCGGCATTCGTGGAAAATTGGCATGCATTTGGCGGATTATTGGCTTATGAAGCGGAAAGAATTTGGCGGATTATTGACCCGGATTCCTAACGCGATTTTCAAATAATCATTTTCCGATTTCTGTGATTGAAAAAAGTAAAACTCTGAAAAAACTGGCCTCGTTCAAAATTATATTTACTCGTATACAATATTTGATTATTTCCGGAAGGCGTTTCTAGCTGATGTATGAACTTTATTTTACAAAGCGATCTACACGAAGGAAAGGAACAGAAGTTCCTAGGTCACATTTTAGATGGCGCCTTCTGTTCAACACGCACCAGCGAACCCGCGAGGGGTTTTCTTCCGTAGCACAGGGTTCCACACAATCTCATGGGTCGAATAGAACCGGAATAGCATATACGAGCATATATGGCCATGCCGGAAATCCAACGGAAGTGCTGTACACCCAGTGACGACAACGGTTTTGCTCATTCGTCATCGTCACATCGACAGACACGACGTTGATCCCAGAAAATCCCTTCCTTTCGCCCGCCTGTCGTGTGTGTGTGTTCATCTCAACACACACACACACACGATCCCAGGAATGGAAAGAATTGCTACAACGATGAGTGTCTTGACGGACGAGATATTGAAAGCGAAGTACGACCTCGTTGTCGATCCCGACGACAAACAGTCGCCGATTGACCTTCATGGGTTTAGCGACCTTGTTCGTGCGATGACCCATGCGCCGAGAAGAACTAGATTTCAGAAACGTTTTGATCATCCTGATTATTGTAATGACTGCTGCTGGTTAGCTGGGTGACAGACGGCGAATATAATAAGATTGCCTCACTCAGTTCAGAGCATTTACTCCATGTTACAAATATTGCATAGACTCCGCTTTTTATTCTGCATGAATGCAAAAATGGCAAATGGGGAATACAGTGGGACCCAGACATACAGACGACTAAACTTAGGGAAAAAATTCTTTAAAAAAAAAAAAAAAAACTGACCAGCGGACACCCTGACAATTTTTTAACATATTCTTACAAAATTTATAGAATAGGAGAAATGTTTGTTTTTCAAAATTTGGATAAAAAATGCACATTATTTTACTATATGAATTTACTGAAATTCACAATTGAAACATTCTAATTCTTTGCTTCTATTTCCGAGGTTTTTTCCATCATCTTTCCACAGTATACCAAGACTTGTTCTTGCTCCTTGCTTCTTGGGCTTATTATGATACCAAAATATCAGATTTTGTGTGGGTTTCTTCTGCACAGTTATTTTCTGTATCTTGAAGTTGAGGAAAAATTTTTATTCAATTTTTTATAACTTAATTTTAATTTTTGATGAAGTGGAGAACCAAATAAATAAGTTCCCATTGAAGTATATGTTAAAACGTGATACAGAACATGCGGAAACCCCGACATACGGACATCGTCCAAGTGCCAAATACGTCCGCATCTCGGGGCACACTTTATTTTAACGCAGGATTTTCTTCAAATAGTAATCTTTCGACCTGATCAGAAAGATGTAATAGAACTTGGAAAATAATTATCAACAATATTTGGTTCTTTCTTTTGAAGATAAATCGTCGACGATTTTTTTTTTCAGGACTAATTATCAGACAAAGACTCAAAGTAATCCTAATTCATAGTACGGAAACATGTCGCTTATTGCCGGACCATTTGCAGGAAATTTCAAGGCACGTGTATATCGGACAAGTTAATATACTAACCTCACTCAACCCTAGTTAGGAAGAATGCGAAATCAACTTTACCATTTTTTTCGATTCGATGACTCAAACGGTTTAAAAATACCAATGAACTGTAGTACTGTATAGAAAAATCGATCACCCGCTTTCGAAATTACCCGTAATTTACGGAATTTATATATTCGTTCGGGTTTCAATGAATAACATGCATTATTTGCTGAGCGTGCATTTTATAATCAATGAAGAATGCCTGATGCAGAGCTGCACAAGTACAACAGTCATTTCAAGAAAGGATCGAAGACTTAGGCTACAATTCCCCTTTGTTGATCCGGATCCCTGATGGCGAATGACGGGGGGATCTCCGAAGTTCGGCTTGGATGCTGAGCTCAAGAGCAGACATTGATGCATCTCCACGCTTTGCTGCAGTACTGTATTTGGTTCAGAGAACTCTGAGGGTAACACAAAATACCCCCGATTCCAAGCAACATCATCAGACGGGGAATAAATCTTGATTGTCTGCCACACACCATGAGCCTGCTGGGCACTGGCGATTTTCCAATAGAGTATCCGAATAAACTGCGTGTTTCAAGTATTTCCACCCTTGAATGCCGAGTTATTTGTAAAATGTTGACTGAATAGAAAGTGAAATAAAAATGGTTGTTTGCCCTATCGCAGTATTTGTCTCTCACTGTTGCTACTTTTAAATGAAGTTTAGCACCACTGCGTCGAATTTAAAGGGATCAGCGGAAATATTCGAGTTGGGGAGGTTTTGAGTTAGAGAAATAAGCTTTTTTTTTTTGAGGCAAGAATATCCACAGGAGATCGCAATTGACGATTTTTTCGGCTTTGAATTGCTTCATAATTGAGTTGAAAGAATGCTGAACTTATAGGGGCATGGATTTATTTTCTCCATTAGTCTTTCATATTCTAAACATTTTTATTGCTTTTTTTCCTCTTGTTTCAATAAAATAATAATCAAAAGGCCTCCGGAAAATTCAACTTGTGGAAGTTTTAAGGGAAAAGCCTTTGAGTTACGGAGGTTTTTAATGAATTGCTCCCATAAAAGAATTCGGATGGGGATTTTAAAAATATTCCACTTAGGGAGGTATTTGACTTGAAGAGGTTCAAGTTATCATGGTTCAACAGTATGATAAATGAATTCAGAAAGCACGTGCAAATATGGAGAATCATTTGCCTTTGCCAGTGCCAGTATAAAGAATTCTCAGTACTTGCAACGTGATTAAAATATGAATAAATAAATGAACAGTACCTTCGGATATCTGCGAAAATTGTTGATGTATGCTAGTGAGTAATTTTCACGAATACCTCGGGGCATTGCAAAAGCTGCAAATTTGTAATTCAATATGAACTTCAGTTCTACATATTTGTTCAAAGGAGCAGAATTTGTTCAGTGTTGATATTTGAAATTAAGCGACAGAATACGAGCAAAAGGTTAATCGCTTGTTTGCTTATTTCAGGCGGAAAATTAATTAATTTCCGCGAGGTGCTCATCAAAATCTCGTCAACCTGAAAGAACGTCTACATGAGTTCGGAAATATTTTTAGAAAATGCCTCTCGCTTCTTCAAAGGAATTCTCATACTCCCACGTGGAAAATAATACGCCTGAAACAAAGATCAAAAGTGATGGAAATTCTGCGCCGCGTTTATTGCATCAACAATATTCGACGCGTACATTTTAGGATGAGCATGAAAGCATTTCAGCTCATCGTAGTGATTATTGTACAGCAAATTTTTCAAGAGAAATGCTTCAAATTTGTTTGTTTCCGGCGCAGTGTTTTGGAATCGGCAACACGGATCTATTTTGGCCAAAACGCGGAGATGCTAAGAATGTCTTTGATCTTTATTCTCGCGCATCGCGGCGACGACGGCGGAATTGATGCTGTGCTGATTTGCAAACATCAGCGTGTCTAGAACTATCAGGAAAACACACACAACGAAAGCAAAGGCAATTCTTGCCTTTTCTCCAACATACACTCGATTCCCCCTTCTTTGCCTTGCTAATAACATTTCAAATCCTCTTGGGGGAACACACTGACTTGCCCGAGAAGAAACAGCTTGAAAAAAAAAACAGAATTTCCTCATCGCTGCAA